TTATTTGCACTTGATACGATAGTTAAATTTTGAGAACTTTGAAAATGATTATTCATCTCTAGGATAATGATACAAAACATCAACGACTGGTTGAGTATTATTATGAAACAGGAATTGCTAAAGCGAGGAGTGTTGCTCGATATATTATTGATCATTATTTTTACGATGGTGCACCAAAAAGGAAGTTGTTGATCTTTGCTCATCATCAGGTCGTCTTGGATATGATATCAATGGATGTGGCCAAAAAGGTTGTAAACAAATAATTTTGTTGATGCACCGGAAATGTGTCGAAATGGAATTCTTTTTTCTTGCGTAGTAGAATATGGGAGAGGGGAAGGATTTATTAGGATGTGGAGGAGGAGATTTGGATTTACGTAGTTCCTTTTTTTTTCAAAATTAAATGAATAGTTTTCACACTTGAATTATGTAATTACGATAGATGGAATCAGAGTAATTGTGATATTTGCTACAGGGATTGCGATCGATACGAATCGATGGTACTACGGTTAGCCGGTCACGTGATGAACAATGTCGATTGTTTCAAGAAAATGATGATGTTATGGTTGCAGTCTTATCAATAACTGCTGCCGGTATCGGTGTTAATTTAACTGCTGCGTCGATTGTTGTATTTGCTGAATTACACTGGAACCCAGGTGTTAGTACTACTGTCAATGTCAATTTTTATTGCGAAATTTACGAAGTTATTCAAATTTCTCAGTTTCTGAGGCAATCTTTTTTTGAATTACACTTATGAATATGCTCAAGATTCCTCTTTTATTATCTTTAAATTATGGATGATAAGACTTGTGGTTGTAAGACCTTTATAATAAAGTTCCAAGACTATAGGAATAATTTTAAGCAGGTCTTCAGCAAGTAGCACATCATGAAATTGTTAGAATTGTTATAACAGAATTGTTATGTAACAGTCAAATTTTTGAATATAAAAGCTATTTCTTTCATTTAATTTAATTTTCATTTTTAGGTTGTAATTCTTTCCAAAATTAATTTAATTTCCGTTTGCTTAATTGAAATGAATGAATTGTTTGTAGGAAAAGTAAAATTTTTTGTCAAATAGTTGTTATTAAGAGAAAAAGTGAGATTCATAAACTTTGTTTGTTTCGAAATAACTTATCGGCACCTTCTACCGCTGAAGGATATCCATAAAAGTCCTGATAATCTGAATAATCATAGTTTAAAAACTATGTTAGTTATTTTTGCAGTTTTGATGATATCTTTAGTCAGCTTCTAACTTTGTTAAAATAGTCTTTTTTTTTGCAGACTTTAAAGCAAGCCGAAGATCGTGCTCATAGACTGGGCCAAAAAGATTCAGTTTTCGTCCAATATTTAATTGCTAAAGGTACAGCAGATGATGTATTATGGCCGTTAATTCAAAAGAAACTTGATGTTTTGCATTCGTGCCAGTTATCATCCGATACCTATCGGGTATGTTATCAAATTATTTTCCGTAGTAGTTTTCTGTAGAAGTTCTTGCACAAGTAATTTTTTTTTTAAATTTTGAATCGAGATGATATCCTCTACGTATGTCTTTACAAATGCAAGTTTATGTTGGAAGAGAAATATCTGCTATTGAATATTTTAAATTTAATAAATTGTTATTGTAGAAAATATTTCTGCATGTTGCACATGATCTTATTAATAACATAAACAAAGATAATTTAGGGTACTAACAGCGTTCAAACAACGATGGGCCCTGAAAGTGGTGGCTTGGATGATCATTTTCCAAGGATTAAACGAATCAGGTCTACTGTAGAATGATTTTTTTTTTTCTCTCCACTTTGTTCTATTTGTTTTATATGTTTTTAAATAATGTGATAGCATTCACCAATAACAAAAATGTTAAATGGATTATTTGTTTGATCTCTTCCAACCGAATTACATCATTATGCTCATTTTCAATTTGTATTTCCGAAGATTTGAAATGTATGTGCGTAATTTTTTATACGTGTTGCGAGATTTCTTTTTTATTTCTAGAAATGTCTTTAAAAACTTACGTTTCAAATATTTTGATAGTCGAAAAGACATACCAACTAATTGTTTTTTTTCTTTTTTTTGCTGAACAAATACTGATAAAATCATGACTACAGTTTATTCTTATCATGTCCAAAAAACAGAACAAACTCCAAAAACTTTTCCATAAGATGAAAAGGAAAAGTGGCAAGCAACTAATTTGTTTTCCTTTAACAAACGCTATAAAATTTCTTTCTCGGAAAAAAATCTCATTTACTTAAGATG